TTCTTATTTGACGTCTTTTACCATTATAATAACGGCTCTCAATTTTTGCAATAGCCGCGGTACTATCGCAGTGGATCAACACAGCTGGCATAGGTTTTTCCCATAAAGGGATCTCAGCTAGCAAGCATCTCAACCAACTTGCTTCTTCACTAGCTGTGGCTAGTGCTATCATCTCAGATTCCATTGTGGACTGAGCTAGAATAGTTTGTTTCTTTGATTTCCAAGATACAGCTCCTCCAGCTATGCTAAATATATAGCCACTTGTAGCTTTGGAATCATCAGACAAAGTATTCCAATCTGCATCACTGTACCCTTCTAGTACAGCAGGAAACTTATGATAATGTAGGCCGAGATCCATGGTCCTTTTGAGGTACCTCATGACTCGTTCAATAGCTTTCCAGTGCTCTTTACTCGGTCTACTCGTAAACCTGCATAACAATCCTACGACATATGCAATGTCGGGTCTAGTACAATCAGTGGCATACCTTAGACTGCCAACGATGCTCGCATACTCTGATTGTCTGACACTTTCTCCAGTGTTCTTAAATAGTTTCACACTTGGATCATATGGTGTGCATGCAGGTTTACATTCAAAGTAATTATATTTCTTTAAGATCTTCTCCACATAATGTGATTGATCCAAAGAAATTCCTTGTTCGGATCTCGTGATCTTGATGCCAAGGATCACATTTGCTTCTCCGAGATCTTTCATATCAAAGTTGTTGCACAACAATGATTTCACATCATTAATGGTCTGAATGTTAGATCCAAATATGAGTAGATCGTCAACATAAAGACATATGATAGTGCAAATGCGGTTCTCAGATTTATAGTAAACGCATTTGTCACTTTCATTCACTTTGTACCCACTTGATATCATTAAGTTATCAAATTTTTCATGCCATTGCTTAGGAGCTTGTTTTAGTGCATACAACGACTTATTTAACTTACAGACCTTGTTTTCTTGTCCATAGATTACAAACCCTTCTGGTTGTTCCATATAGATTTCTTCTTCTAAGTCACCATTTAAAAAAGCTATTTTTACATCCATTTGGTGTACTATTAAGTTATAAATAGCAGCTATTGAAATAAGTACCCTAATGGATGTAATTCTAGTGACAGGAGAAAAGGTGTCGAAGAAATCTATATTTTCTCTTTGTCTAAAACCCTTGGCAACAAGGCGAGCCTTGTATTTATCAATAGTTCCATCAGGTTTTAGTTTTCTTTTCAAAACCCATTTACAACCAATTGGTTTGCAACCAGGAGGCAAGTCTACTAAGTTCCAGGTCTTATTGGATTCTAGAGAGTCTATCTCATCATTGATAGCCTCTTGCCATAAATCAGCATCCAGAGAGGACAAGGCTTCTTGAAGATTCATTGGATCTTCTTCTACATTATAAGCCGCATAGTCTTTAGAGACTCTTACTCGTTTACTTCGTCGAAGTTCTGTTTCTATATTGTCGTTGCATTCTGTGCTTCTTATCACAGGAGTGTGACTCGATTGTGTGCCCCCACTATTTATCAATTTGAAGGGAAATTTGTCTTCATAGAATTCAGCATCATTTAATTCTATGATCACTTTTGCTATCAGGTCATAAAACCTATATGCTTTACTGTTTGCTGCATATCCAATGAAAACACATTCATATGCTCTACTAGCGAGTTTAACTCGCTTCGGATCCGGAATTCTGACATAAGCCAGAGAGCCCCAAGTTCTCAAATAAGACAAGTTTGGTTGTCTTTTCTTTAGTATCTCGTAAGGAGAGATCTTACATTTTGACTTGGGGATTCTATTCTGGACATAGCAAACAGTCAATAAAATTTCCCCCCACCAGTGAGGTGCAGCACCAGAATTCATCATAATTGCAACGACAAGTCCAGTAAGAGTTCTATTCTTTCTTTCTGCTTTACCATTCATTTCAGAAGAATATGGAGCAGTTGTTTCATGTATAATTCCATGTTCTTTATAAAAGTCCTTAAATAGACCAGAGTCATATTCAGTTCCCCTATCACTACGAAGTCTCTTGATCTTCTTACTAAGTTGATTCTCAATTTCGGTTACATACAACTTAAACATATCAAGTGCTTCACTTTTATTCTTCATTAAGTATACATAAGTATAATCAGAACAATCATCAATAAAGGTGATAAAATAACGTTTACTATTCCTAGTCAAAGTTCCATCTAATTCACATATATCAGAGTGTATAAGATCTAGGGGATCAGATTCTCTTAGAATTGATTTATGCGATGTCTTAATTATCTTAGCTTGAGTACAATATTCACATTTATTTGAATCATTGACATTTAGTTTAGGGATCATGCCTAAGTTGCTTGAATTATACATTATTCGCTTATTAACGTGACAAAGTCTAGCATGCCAAATATTAAAATCATGCAGAAAATAAACAGAAGGACAAATTTTATTCAAATCAACATTTAACTTAAACATGCCATCAGTGGCGTACCCTTTCCCAACAAAAATACCATTCTTAGTGATGGTGTACAAGTCTGCCCCTATAGTTTGACTAAACCCAACCTTATTTAAAAGGAAACTAGAAACAAGATTCTTCCTAGTCTCAGGAACGTGCATGACGTCCTTCAAGATCAAGGTCTTTCCTGAAGTGAACTTCAGCTCAACATCTCCAATTCCAGCAACATTAATGGTGTGGGCATCTCCCAACAACACTTTCTTATCTTCAGTATTCATGTATGTCTTAAACATAGCATGATCATTACAAACATGACGAGAGGCGCCGGTGTCTATCCACCATCCATCACTTCCATCAACCATGTTGACTTCAGTGATCATAGCAATGAATTGCTCATCAGTCAGGTTAACCTGTGCATTTGGGTCAGTAGCAGATTTAGGCCTGCTCTTACATTTCTTAGCCATATGACCCGGTTTCCCATAATTGTAGCAAGTGAAAACCGGACCATCATTTCTCTGGAATGGTGGTTGCTGCCTAGGAATTGGAGTATATGGGGCCCTAGAGGGATTCCCATTCTTAATTCGGTTCACAGTATTACGATTCTGATTCTTTAAAGGTTTGCCCGTAGGCTTCAGAACCGCACCGAATTTCTTTTTGTTGTTTGAAACAACTAAGACTTCATCTTTCTGATCTTGTCTTCGAGCTTCCTCTTCAATTCGAAGGCGGGTAATCAAACTCTCGATTGAAAATTCTTTAGTTTTATGTCGGAGTAGGTTTTTAAAATCTTTCCAACCAGGAGGCAGCTTGTCAATTATAACAGCAATTTGAAATTGTTCATTGAGGGGCATACCTTCAGTTATGATTTCATGAGAAATCTTCTGTATCTCGTGGCTTTGAGCTTCCACAGACCTTTCATTCACCATTTTGTAATTCAAGTAGCGACTGACAACATATTTTTTTGCACCAGCTTCTTCAGTATCATATTTCTTCTGCAGAGCCTCCCATACCTGTTTAGCAGTCTTGTAATTGTTGTAGTAATCATAGAGATCATCAGCAAGACTGTTCAGAATGTGATTTTTGTAGAGGTAGTCATTTTCTTGCTATAAGGCGATTTCTTTTTGGAGCTGTAAGTTATCTGTCGCAGCTTTAGCAGCGGAGTCTAAGTCAGACGTTTGAGAAGTTCCGTCTGATTCCATGGTTGACTTACCATTACTTAGTTCGTTTGATCCAGATGGAGCAACAGGGATATTCTCAGTCAGGACGTAGGCAACCTTCTTTAAAGTTAAGAAAAATTTCATCTTAGCTTGCCAACGTTTGAAATTGAAACCCTCAAACTTAAATGGTTTGTCAGAGACAGAAGCGGCAACGCTAGTACCGATAATTTTCTCAGTAGCCATGGCAGTTATGAAAACGTCTTAAAATTGTAGAAACCGGATTTTAAAAAAATGGCACAAAGGAAAGGTATCGGGACGAATCACGTACTAGGTCGCTTTCTTTAAGACGTTTCGTCGTACTACCAATATTAATGCAAAGCAGTCGAGTTTCGACGACGCCTCCAGGATAAAACAACCCATTCAATTACAACAATTACTTGCACTATAATTAGTCGTTCGTAGAATGACACCTTCGGATGGTAATTAACCAGTCTTAGTATCTGGATACGAAGTGATCCAGTCGAAAATAAGAGAGAAGAAAATTATAGATGAAGTGAGTGATGAGAGAAGAGAGAAGAATTGTAGAAGTAAATTCTGGGGCTGCCCAAATGAACCGAAACAACTTAATTTATAAGTGAAAAGGTCCAACTGAATAGAACAGGTCTAGTGGGAGAAAATCGTGGGAGAGGTGGAATTGGCGCAGTCAATAACCAGTGAATAATTAGGTTAAGACTTGGTCTTTTGGAGGACAAACAAAAACCAGTCAATAATTAGGTTAAGACTTGGTCTTTTGTGCATGACACATCACCATCTATTAATTAATTAATAATAATATTAATATTAATTAATTTCCACTCTTTCGGGACTAAAATGAATCTTTTCAAATTCACTTCTATGCTAGTTCTTACTTGTGCTCATTTATTGCCCAATTAACGACAGATAAATTATTCCAACTCCCTCTCCAAATTTACATCATACCAAGATTTCCAACCGAATTATGTAAAAATAGCATTTTTGTTACTATTATATAGTGTTTTTTCTGCAACAACATATTTAAGAGATAAGTACAATGTACAATAGAGTAGAGAAACCATAAAAAGAAACATGACATTGTCTTAAGCCATTGCGGCGGCGCACAGCACAAGACAGCTCTGGTCGCGTTCGCGTATGAAACAAACCAAAACAACAAAAACAAATATTAAGGTGCGTGTATGCATAACATAACATATAATAATAATGTTCATTCCCCTTCTCCTCTTCCATTCTATAACATCTCATGTAACACTTCATCTTTCACCAAACCGTTTTTTTTCTTTCTATCTACCACTATTTAATACCATTCAATTTCATAATTACACTCATAAATTTTCATTTCTGTTATATCTTTATAAGAGTGTCTCACGCCATGAACATTACTCTAATTCACAACAAGAAGCGTAGTGGCAGCAGCAACAACAAGAGAGTTAACATCAACGTGAATATGAGTATTAATCCGTTGTTTAGGAGTGATTCGTTAGGTTATTATTCTCATTACTGCTGCAACCCTCACGAGCAGCAGAGTTACACATTGATGGAGAAGAGGCAACTGTTTCTTAGAAGCTATCAATTCACACGAAAAAAGAGCTTTTCTGAGAGAATCAAAAGGTGTTTGATTCGAGTGAAGAGAGTTGTTTTACGATCTGCTAGGAAACTCAAGAGTATTAAATGTGGTTTCTATTACAGAAGATATAGGAACAAGTATAGCAAAAGCAACTACTCCTCGTGTTTATGTTAACAAATGTCGATAGAATGTACTCACATTGGATACTCAATTGAAAGTGTGTGTGTTAGAGTGTTAGGGTAGGTCTATTACTCATCATCTCTCATCTCTCGTGAGAGAATTGTGAGAGATTTATTTATTTTGTCATTTTTCATTTCATGATTTGAGTACTTAGTTTTAATATTGATATGGTTAATGTTAATTCGATACTATTTGCCTAAAAGGATACTTCTCATTTCTTTATACTATAACTTTTATCTTTATTATTAATAATTTTAAGTTAATAAAGGCTTACTCGATTGATAAAGAGTTGGTTCAACATCTACTCAAACTCATAAATTCAACTTCAACCTCAAATGTGAAATCTCTTAAATAAGTAATTTATAAGTATCTCTATAAATGCTTTTAAACTTTGAGATTTGTCCTTGCTTTTGTGAACTCGAAGCTTCACTCATAAATTTTCATTTGTTAATTGTGATGTGCTGTTTTGCCAAGTTTATAGATGAAATGAAGTCTAAAGAAAAATAGGATGAAGAATATTTATTTTCATTTCAAATTCAATTAATATTTGATGAGAATATAAGTTGTTTTGGATAACATTTGGGCTAAGAGGTTGACCTCTAATATGGTGTTGTAAGTCTCAGGTACAGTGGATCAAGAAGATGAATTTCTAAGGTTAGCACTCAAATTCTTAAGTCAGTGATGATGCTCAAAAGGGAATAGAGTGAAATATGGAAAAATACTAATGTATTTAGGGTGTACATAGGTGTATTATCCGTGGAGCGAACATGTTATTGGACCTTCTTTGAGCACTAATAGAGCTTTCTTTATTGGACCTTTGACCGATCCAGAATAGTTGCTCCAAGGCTTTCTATGAAGTGTTGGACTTGAAGTCTTCTAAAATCTATTTCGGCATGACATCTTTAAGCCGAATGTGGGTGAAACCGGGCATGTTCGCCTGTTAGACAAAGATTGAGACAGACAAATTAAATACTTTTTCCATCACTGAGGCATTCTCGTTACCTTTTTACACGTGACCGTAGGTTGAAAGGCTAACAATATGTCATTTCTCCATAGGATGCTTACGTGTACTTGAGTGTCGCAATATTCCAGAGGTGAAATCTGGCCGTTGCTATTCATATCCTTTCATCTTGGCCGTTGTTTGCTTGATCCATTTCCTTATATAAGGGATATGCGATTCTGTGAGTGAGTTTTGATGACTTCTCAGTAAGTGTATCGCTAGTGTTAAAATAATACTAAAAGATATCATATCCACAAGGATGACTATTTAATAAAACTACGTGAAATTTTATTTCTCAGGGGACAAATGTCACACGTGATGTCCTAACAACTGGTTCGAAAAGTTAAACCATAATCACCATAATAATTTGTACAAGATGATGGAGCAGAAAAACAATAACACAATCAATTGATAATCCAGTTCGATACAACTTGCATCTACATCTGGATGGTTGACTTCCAACCCAAGAAAGGAAATTCACTATTAGTAGCTTTGGATAATTTGTCTTACAAGCAATAACAAACTCTATGTTGTTCAATTCCTTTTCCTAACACTATCTAATAACTTTATTTTTAGGAATCCCCCTAAATATGAGACACCCTCTCACTTTCTCTCAAAAACTAACCCTTAGTGTTTGGAATACAATCACTAAATCCTAGTGATCAAATTCAAATACAACTATGAGTGATGTTGAATCTTACAACTTAACTAGATAAACCTACAATTATGCCAAGTTACTAAAACATAGTGTGGTGTACATACACCAATAACAAGGACTCCAAACAAACCCTATCACTCTAAAAATATTCAATGTATTGCTTGCTTTCCGGTAAAAGTTCTGGCCTCCTTATACAACATAATGATTATGGACTTTTCTTCATGGATATTTGATTTGATTTTGTCCAAAAATAATGCAGAATCTATTGGATATTATTTGTTCCATAAATCTCTCAAACAAGATATGGTTTGTTTCAATTTAAATATCCACTTAAATATGAATAAATCTTCTTCTAACTGTTAAATAAATCACCTAATTATATTGTTAAATCAATAATAGCAAAATCTGATTCAATCTTTGATCATATAATCTTCTAAAACGCAACAACAATGACCTGTTGTGCAATGCCTATATGTTGTAGCAACATGCTGGGATATCATGTCCATCACATGTCCCTTCTGCACCTCCAAACAACTTTCACACATGGCTTAGTCAATGACATGGTTACCGATATCGCATGGAATTGAAAAACCCCCTGGATCTTTCAACTTAGATGCCATTTTTTTTTGGATAATGATGCTACACTCCTCAGTGAGTGCTACTGTACCATTGTCATAAAACTTCCTTTTGTTCGTCAGGATTTCCTTTGAGAAATTTGCGTACGAGGGAATTTGGATTATTGCTTCGATAAAAGGAATGCTAATATGGAGATTCTTTAAGAACTCAACAAACTTTCTCAATTGTTCCTCAATTTTCACTTTCGCGAATCTTTGAGGGAACATGATCGGGGGTTTGTAAAGAGGATGAGGTACATATGGTTATTCTTTGTCCTTTTCGACTACCTCGTTTTCCTTCATTGTTTGTTCGCTCTTTTTTTCAGCTGATATTGACTCCTTTTCAGTGTCCTTCTCTACATCATTTTCATTATCTCTCTTATCAATAAGGACTTCTAAGTATTTTTTTTTGTTTCACAAAGTTATAAAGTTAGCATGTCCCTTTGGGTTCGGCTGAGGTTGCCCTGGAAATATTCTAGTAGGGGTAGTTGTAGGCGCTTGCTGTTGGGCCACTTGAGAAAGATGTGATTCCAACATCTTATTGTGAGTGGCCATATTGTCAACTTTATTTGTTAGTTGCTTTATCATCTCATTGGTATGGATGTTGTGATTTAAGAACTCCTTGTTTTGCTGGCTTTGGGTTATGATAAAGTTCTTCATCATCAGTTCAAGATTCGACTTTTTGGGAGCACCAAGGGCTCCTTTTTGGCTTTGAAAACCGATTGGAGTAACAGGTGTAGGACCGGGCGCGAGCATAAGGTTTTTGTTCTTGTAGGATAAATTTGGATAATTTCTCCATCCAGGATTATACGTCTTCTGTTGTTGCGTGTAATTCACCTCACCTGGGGAAGGCTTGGCTAATAGTTAACACTCAGCAATAATGTGTCCAGGGGTTCCACATATTTTAAAACTAGGATTCGGAGCAGCTACGATAGTCGCGAGGTTGATACTCATATTGTCTAGCTTTTTATATAGGACATCCACTTTAGTGTTCATATGATCGAAGTTGCTAACTTCGTACATCCTTTCTTTATGTTGCATTTTCTCAATGAGAGTGTGTTCACTCCCCCACTGGTAGTGGTTATGAGCCATGTTTTCGATAGGGTCATATGCATCATTGAAAGGTTTATTCATTAGAGCCCCATTGATAAGTTCAAAAATGTAGTTATTCTGTATATATTTTTTGTTACACTTATCGATTCTTTGTTTTTAATATTCGCTGAATAATCCCAACTTTTGTGTAAACTTGTGTAGTTTATATATATTTGTGTTTTCGTATACATAGTGTATCGTTTGATAGTTTTGTATCTATTTTATAGGTATTTGAGCATTGTTGGAGCAAGAGGAATAAAAGCTCCAACATGAAATTTTGATCAATAAAGGAATAAGGCAAAAGAAGAAGCCATTTGAAGTTGTGTAGAGAAATCAACAAAAGTTGCTTTTCTGGTGTGCATTGGCAAGCGATGACCGGGCGGATGCATCGGGTCTGCATCTTCGGGCGACAGTGGAGCGAGAGGATGGAACAATTTTCCAGTTGATTATGCCTTGTGTTGTACCTCAAAATTTTCCCTCCCATATTTCTCAAGACATGTCAAGAATAATCTCCAAGTGACTCAAGTTAGCTCAAGAGTTGGACAGTCAAATCACCTCCTAAGGCAGTCAATTCAAAATTAGGGTTTTGTGTTGCTTCAAGGTCCTTACATCCAAATGTCCTCATATTATACCCAATGTCCTAATATGTTCTCAAGATCATCCATGTCAAATTTCAAGCCTTGCAGAGGAAGTTTGGTCAGTCAATTGCTCAAGAGGTCCAAAAATCGACTGTGCTAGGCCAAAAGTCATCTGTGTCCCAAATACAGTCAAACTTCAAGATTTTTTATCAACATTCTAATTTTGAAGGATAATTAATCATTTTATCAATGGTTGATCATGATTCATCAAGGATTTCTCAAGATTCATCAAGATTCAAAAGTTGGTAAATTAGGGTTTTGTAGGAAAAGTCAACTCAACTTTGACCAAGCATAACTTTCTCATACTTTATGAGAAATGACCCATCCAAAGCTCATTTTGAAGAGGATGTAATTTCCTACAATCCATCTTCACACCCCAAGATCAAGAAGTGAACTCATAAAAAGTTACAAATTTGGATATTATAGGTCATTTTTTAAAGTCAACAAAAATACCTTTTTTGCCAAAGCTTATAACTTGAGCATGGAATATCAAAATGAGATGAGACAAAAAGGGTTGGTTATAGGACATCTCAAGGTTTCTAAAAAAGTCCAAGAACACTTTCAAAAGTTCAAAATTGAAGAAGTTATGCATTGTTGAAGTTGGGCATTTTTCCAAAATTGCCAAAAGTCAACTATCCCCAAAACTTCAAATTTTGACAAAAGGGCCCACTTTTTCCACTTGATTTGATCTTGTCACACCACACACGTGTCATGTCTTCAGTTTCATGTACATTCATTAATTTTTCTATTTTATTTGATTTTTATTTGATTAATTCATTTTAAATCAATATTAATCCAAATAAAATCCAAATATTGATGGAATATGATCTTCTTGATCATTACAGGTCTTAATTATCATGATGTACAAGATCAAATTCGTACCATGCCATATTGTGAACAAAATATTTGATTTAGGACAATTTTGGAAGCTTTGTTAATGGTGATCAAATTAAATCTTGAATCTTCAATGCTCATGGATTCCAAGCCCAAGA